CTCTCACTCACTCTCACTCACTCTCACTCACCCTCACTCACTCTCACTCACTCTCACTCACTCTCACTCACTCTCACTCTCACTCACTCTCACTCACTCTCACTCACTCTCACTACTCTCACTCACTTTTTCACTACACTCTCACTACTCTCACTCTCACTCACTCCTTCTCACTCACTCCCTCGCTCGTCCGCTCCACTCCACTCCACTCCACTTTCCACCCACCCCACCCCACCCCACTTCCATTCACTCCCACTCCACTCCAACCCACGCCACCCGCTCCACTCCACTCCACTCCACTTCCAATCCACTCCAACTCCACTTCCCACTCCACGCCACCCACACGCCACGCCACGGAAACGCCTACGGCCACGCCACGGCACGCCACGGAACGACACGCCACGCCCGCCACGCCACGCCACGCCACGCCACGCACAAGCCACGGCCACGCACGCCCACGACACGCCACGCCCCCCGCAACGCCACGCCACGCCCACGCCACGCCACGCCACGCCACGCCACGCCACGCCACGCCACGCCACTCCACTCCACTCCACTCCACTCCACTCCACTCCACTCCCTCTCGCTCTCACTCTCACTCTCACTCTCATTCTCACTCTCACTCTCACTCTCACTCACACTCACACGCACACGCACACTCTCCTCACTCACTCACTCACTCACTCACTCACTCACTCACTCACTCACTCACTCACTCACTCACTCACTCACTCACTCACTCACTCACACTCTCACTCACACTCTCACTCACACTCACTCACCCACTCACTCACCCACTCACCCACCCACTCACTCACTCAGTCACTCACTCACTCACTCACTCACACACACTCACACACTCACACACTCACACACTCACACACTCACACACTCACACACTCACACACTCACACACTCACACACTCACACACTCACACACTCACACACTCACACACTCACACACTCACACACTCACACACTCACACTCTCACACTCTCACACTCTCACACTCTCACACTCTCACACTCTCACACTCTCACACTCTCACACTCTCACACTCTCACACTCTCACACTCTCACACTCTCACACTCTCACACTCTCACACTCTCACACTCTCACTCTCTCACTCTCTCACTCTCTCACTCTCTCACTCTCTCACTCTCTCACTCTCTCACTCTCTCACTCTCTCACTCTCTCTCACTCTCACTCTCACTCTCACTCACACTCTCACTCACACTCTCACTCACACTCTCACTCACACTCACACTTTCACTCACACTCTCACTCACACTCACGCTCACACTCTCACTCTCATTCACTCACACTCACCCACCGACCCACTCACTCACTCACTCACTCTCTCTCTCTCTCTTTCTTTTGTGTGGCAGGCGTGGCACTTGGTGCGCCCTGGCGTCCCTTGGTCTCCGCCACTTTGCCGGTGGCTTTTGCGTGGCAGGTGCGGCACTTGGT